TAACTAAGCAACAAAGTAAATGCATATTTATCCCACAAACATATTTATCATAATATATAGCTCATTATCCATTTTATTTTTTCATATTCTGGGTAAAGTGTCTGGTCTCTGATGGGGCACCATTTTACCCTCCACAGCATGGGAGAGTGATTTAGAGCCTTGCGTGTAGAAGTGATTCATAAGTACTTGTTGAATGATGATACTGAGAAGCAAAACTTCATCTGTGAGTGGAAACACTTGATAGTTCAATAAAAGCAGAGCGCTTGGAGTATTGATTGTAACTAGCAAGTTTAAATATTCCAAAGTCAGGGACAGGGATCCCTGGGTGGCTCAGCAGTTTGGCACCTGCCTTTGGCCCAGGGCGCGATCCTGGAGACCCAGGACCGAGTCCCACGTCAGGCTCCCGGTGCATGGAGCCTGCTTCTCCCTCTGCCTGTGTCTCTGCCTCTCTCTCTCTCTCTGTGTGACTATCATAAATAAAAATTAAAAAAAAAAATAAAAAAAAAAGTCAGGGACAGAATTACTTGGGATCCTCCTAAAGTAATACCAGTGACTGATAGAGTCTAGCTCCTGCTTCTTCTCTCTGGTGCTTGACTATAACTCCTGGTGGGCTGAAATCTGAATTTATTTGGTGACCAATTTTCTGGAGCTGGTGTGCCAAGATGAACCCACTTGAAAACTGTGGGCTCTTGGACTTGGCTGCAAGACCCGTCCAGCTGAGGTGGGCTGGCCCAGCATCTGCTGCCTTCATTGTGCTTAATGCTCGATCCATCTGTTTTCTGTCAGAGCCAGTGCCAACAAATTACTAATCTATTAGAGAAACATGGAAATAAGATCGCACTTCCCATTCCTGGCTTTTCCTCTCATATTTTGCTTGGCTTACATGTTTGGTTTTTGTTTATTTGGGGGAGAAAGATATGTTATCGAGTAGGCAAAGGGGGGGGGCATGAATCATTTTTTTCACTCCTTCCACACATTTTCAAAAGACTATGGGGAAAGATCACCAATTATCCATGTTGTTGATAGTATAATGATTGCTGATGGTGGCAGCCATCGTTTATTAGGTGACTGTGCGTGGCACTGTACTAGTCCCCTCATACCTATTCCCCCATCATCATCACTTTACAGATGGCAAAACTGATGTTCAGACAAGTTAAAAAACTTGGCCAAGGTCATGCTGCTATTCAGACCCAAATTCTAGAGCCTGTGCTTTGTCCATCGCTGCCTCTTAAGCCATTTAAAGCCTTTAGAAAGCATTTTTATCCAGGCATGTGAGTTTAATGAGGAAAGTCTTTAGCGTTTCAAGGAGAAGAAAAGGGGACTTTGTATTTCTTCTACCAAATAGAGGCCTCTATAATTAGAACATATTCCCTTGACGTGTGCTTTTGAGTGCCAATTCATGGAATCAACCCAACTGATTGAGGAAAATTAGATTGGGAGCCCGGTACTCAATGGGCCTTTCTAAGCACAAGTGCTTGCGTGCATGTATGGGTGTGCACGGTGGTTGTGTTCTAATGCGGACCCCGCCCGGCTGCAGAATGCCGCCGGCTGTGGCAGACCAGCTGCTGAATTGAGCAAAGCCATTGAAACTCGGCTCTTCTCCTTAGCGCACACCATGAATGAGAGGGATGAAGTAGGGTCCCGGCTAACCGAACATCTCAGCCATTTCTTTCTTTTGTGTTCATCAAAATACAGCTCCCGACTGCCAGCTACTCCCAAAGCGCAAGATCCCAGGGTGACAGAGTTTCTCTGTTCCAACCATAAGCAGAGTTCAACAAAATCGGGAACTTTCTTCTCTAACAAAACTGCATTGTGGGCAGAGTCTGCAATAACCATGTCTAAACGCTTGTTTTCTAAAACAAGATTAAAGTGTTATTTCATTTCCTTCGAAAGCAAAGGGTACATATGTTTTCACTGAATAAAGTTTCTTACCAAATGAGTCACTTACCAAGTGGTGGGGGAGGGTGGGAGCTAGTAATCAAATGAATATGTGAATTAATTTTCATTTGCCTTCGAACTGTGAATGAGTTTATTTATTTTTAATAAAAGCAAGGGCCCAAAAAAAAAAAGCGTCGTGTTTCCTGATGCTCTCAGACTCTCTGGAAATGAGGGCGGGCGAGGCCAGTGAGGATGCAGAGGAGAGGTCCTAACTCTGCCCACAGAGAAGCCTTCTGAGGACCATGCTCCAGGAAGGCGTGGGAAGAGGCAGGACAGCCACCCACCCGCTGCACTGCGTCCCTCACGAGCCAGGGAAGCATAAGGTGCCCTTTCCACCAGGCTGGTGTGACGGGAAGACAGACGGGGACCTTATGTGTGGTCCTGCAGGGTAGGAGATGCCAAAACAACTTAAGAACTTTTTATAAAGAACTTGGAAATTGATGAGCAGGGACTGTTTTACCTTTTACTTGGGAACCGTGTAAGTTTATGTCCGTAAAGGCAGGGTACTTTCTTATGAAAAGGCATTTTAAATTTGAGGAGCTAGGTGGCACCTGAAGGAATTTACATCAAACCTTCCTGTTCCTTCTATTCTTCTTGGCTTTCCTCTCCATTCCCAGTTCCTGACTCCATTCACCAGCACCAGACTCTGTTACTCCCCTTCAGGATTTCTTTAAGCTTCTAGGGGATGTTCAGGGTCAGAAAAACACGTTGGTCTCTAGGAGGGGCTGGCAGATTATGGCCCACTTTGGCCCACTGTCTTTCAATAAAGTTTTATTGGAACACAGGCACTCTCATTTGTGTATGGAGTGCCTCTGGCCATGTTGGGGCCATGGTGTCAGATTACTTGAAACCTTCTGGCCTATACAGGCTAAGATATTTACTGTCCAGCCCTTTACAGAAAGTGTGTTGGCACATGGTCAGTATAACTGGCGACCTTCATACGGTCTGCAATAAATAATACACTTCGTGGACACCCAAATAAGAAAGCTCATGTGATGCACCTAACAGCAAGTACCCAGTCTGTGTTGAAAAGTCCATGGATCTCTTACATATTTGTAGGTAATGCAGCTTTACATGTTTAGACTTAAAAAAAAAACTAGTTATACAGTTATGAGGGTATGTCACATAAGTATGTTTTTTTCCTTAAGCATTTGAGAGGCCCCACAGTAGTGTTATGTGCTTAGACTCTGAACCGTGCACACATGTTACTTGAATGCGAACCGTGCCTTCTCTGCTTATTAGGCACATGACCTTGAGACAGGCTCCTCCACATCCTACATTTCCGGTTTCTCATCTCTAGAATTAGGTTTCTCATCTCTAGAATTAGAAGCCTCTTAGGCTTAATATAAGGATTAAATGAGTTAATACAAAGAATTTGGAATTGAGCTTAGCACATAGTAAATATTAAGTATTTGCTTTTATTATTGTTACTAATCAAATTCAGTTTCTGCTGGAAAACCTAGAGAAGCTCCTCCTAACTTAAACTTTGGAGGCCTAGGACACAAGGCCCTGCTGAATCTGACCTCTACTCCTGCCCTGCACAGCCCCATGAAGCTCATCAGTGACTCATCTTGAGTTTTTCTCCTCTCTGGCTGTCTCTTGCCATGTATGGCCTCTCCCCTATGTATGCCATCCTCTCTTCTGCCACACTTGGCACCCAGGTATATAACCCCTATCATTTTTACGTGTGTGTTTGCGATACTTCACATACATAATATCTTTTAACCCTAACAACTCCTCAGTAGACTTTTTCTTCTCTTATTATCCCTGCTACTCCACCTCATACACCACACACACACACAGTGAGCTCTTGAGTGCGGGAATTGCATTATATTTAACTTTATATCCCTTAGAACAGTTATGTTATTTTGACAAGGAGATTCTTCCAGAAAGCTGTAGGGATTGATTGAGAAACACTAATCCATAGTCTACAAATGCTTTTTACATTTATTTTATTTCAATAATCATTTGTGGGAAGGCAGCATATTTTATTGGTTAATTATATGGGTCCCAGAATCCTTTTGCTTGAGATTGAATCCTAACGTACTAGCTGTTGATTTTCTTCATTTGTAAATGGAATCATGGTCATTTATATGTATTTTGTATGGTTATTGGAGAAGTGAATGAAATCATTGACGCAAAGCACTTAACCCCACTTGGCACACATAGTGTAGTTCTGCAATTACTATTATTGGAATGACATTAAATACGCCTTTAATTTACTCGAATTTAATCTATGTACACTCACTCAAAATAGAAGGCGTGGAGGGAGAGAGAAGACAAGACTACTGGCATAGTTGGGACCCCTGAAGCTGCTGTTCTCCTGAGTGTGCCCTGGTGTGCACGGGGGCTGGAGGTGCCTCCATGGTTCTTCACTGTTTCCTCAGACTCTTCCTGCTCCCCATTCCCTGCACTGAATGTCATGGTAGCGCTTACAACCACAGTTCAGAAGACATGACAGCAAGCGCAAACCAGCCCCTTTATTGGGGGCTCAAGGGAGCAACAAACACGAAGCAGTGTGCCCCCAACACTAGAGAAAAACTGATTGTTTTGCTGGACTAATGTTGAGCTTCCACACGACATCTCCTATGGGGTTTGGGGGGATAAATTTTAACCATATGTGCATGTTGTCTTACATGTTGCCTTTCTGAACACTTTATCATAACTGTCAAATGTAGTGATGTCATAATGCAGTCACACTGGTGTGTTCTTAAGGACTAGGGGTTGAAATGGTTTTGGTTAAAGGGTAGGAATGGGAGTGTTGGGTGTACTGAAGCGACAGTCACTACTAGCATCCCTTGCCTATTCATAGATGGTTTTCATAGCCTGAATGTCCCCTCCATCGTGTGGCTGTCCTATGTGGTTCTTTGCCTTGGGAATGGGCCGAGAGAGCATGTTTTGACGCTGCCAGCCTTATCGGTGCCAGCGGGGAAGGGTCAATAAGGATAATGACTACTATTCTGTGTTGACCACATTGTTGGACCAGAAGGATTTCCAGTGAATGTCCTCACAAGTCCAGATACTAAGTAAAAGGCTTTAATTTGTGTTTACTTTCTGTTTAGGTAACTACTCCAGACCCCCAACGTATAGTGGGGTGCCCAGTGCAAGCTACAGTGGCCCAGGGCCCGGCATGGGCATCAATGCCAACAACCAGATGCATGGACAGGGGCCAAGCCAGCCATGTGGTGCGATGCCCCTGGGACGAATGCCATCAGCTGGGATGCAGAACAGACCGTTTCCTGGAAATATGAGCAGCATGACCCCCAGTTCTCCTGGCATGTCTCAGCAGGGAGGGCCAGGAATGGGGCCACCGATGCCGACCGTGAACCGTAAGGCACAGGAGGCAGCCGCCGCAGTGATGCAGGCTGCTGCAAACTCGGCGCAGAGCAGGTATGCCGTCGGGGCCAGCGGTCTATGTGCGCCCTGTGAGCGCGTGTCGCGCACAGAGCCACGGTGTCGCCTGGGTCACCCGGGGTGCGGAGCAGCACAGTGTCGTTCAGCTAGGCCATTCCTTTTTTTTTTTTTTAATAAATTAATTTTTTATTGGTGTTCAATTTACCAACATACAGAATAACACCCAGTGCTCATCCCGTCAAGTGTCCCCTCAGTGGCTAAGCCGTTCCTTTGGCCTTGTCACATGCCATCCCGTGATAGTAGAGAAGGAAATGGCAGACCACAGTCCGTGAGACATCAAGGAAGGACCCCAAGTGGTGGGCAAGTCTATTCTGGGAGCTTATTTGAAATGACTGTGACTCGTCCTTGTAACCAGCACCCCAGAGTGGTGGCACCTCTGGGTGGTTCCATTTACAACAGCAGGGTTTAGGCAGGAAAGTCTAAAACCTAAAATACAGGCTTTTAAAATCTAAGCCACTGAAAAAGAACCACCTTCCTTTTTTTTTTTTTTAACCCCACCGTAAAAAAAATCTTTATAACAGAAACTTTGTCTATGCACATATATGTATTGTGTATGTTTGTCTAAATGTTTCTGTGTGAGATTTATAGATTTCATATTCTTATGTTGTATTTTCTTTTTCTGGGCATACCCCTCTATCTGTCCAAACCAAAATGTGGCTAACAGAGCCAAGATAATATTTCATAAAGCTGAAGTTGATAGAGCAAGGCTTTAGCCTCACTTACTTAGTTTTACTCTTGATTTTTGAAGCTCTTGAAGTAAATATTTAACCTGCTTAAAAATAACATGCTTAATTAAAAATTTATGAGACAGAAGTGAATAGTTTTAAAAGAAGCACTTATAAATATGTTTTAAATGATTAACATATGTCAAAGTAACATTTTAAAACAAAGCATATTGAAAGCTATGTATGAAGATATGATATCTTCAGAAGAAAAGATAGAAGAATGATTTTTGTCAAAGGGAAAGAAAAATTGTGTGTGTGTGTGTGTGTGTGTTATGTTTATATGTGTCCCTTTGTTACTTTTCCTCTGAAGCTGCTATCTGGGGAATGTTAGGGACCCCTTCAGTCTCACCATTTGCTCCAAATAATAATAAATTTCCCTTGAGGAATCAAAATGAAAGTCAATCATTCTCTCTCTCTCTCTCTCTCTCTCTCTCATCCACATTACAGTTACTTAAAATCTCCTGAACTCTGCACTATACTAAACCGAACCTACACAGGCCTTAGGGAATGTTTTGATAAAACTGTCTGTGAAAAAAAAAAAAAAAAAAAAAAAAACCTGTCCATGAAGACTGGTTTGCCTGGTCCAGTTGAAGTTCTGAGTTAGGTTTCCCCGAATTGTCCATTGTTGCAACTCCTAAGGTACTCGCTGTTTTCAGGTGGCAAGTGTGCCTGACTGCTCTGGACACAAGGCCGTGGATAGTGACCCCGGGAGGAAGAGACCCAGAGAGATCGGGCCATAATTGTTCACTCTGCTCCCTCTCTGAATCAGCCAAAGTGTCGTTTTCTATAGATTTAATGTGTAGGTACACAGCCGTGCATTTTCATTCTCTGCTTCTGATGAGCAGGCCGTTCCAAAGCCTTGCCTTCACGTAGTGCCCATTGTAGCTCTCTGGGCGTTTTAAATGAGGTCTGTGTCTTTTTTGGCTTGTACTGACGTCAACACCACATTGCAGAAGTGTCAGTGGAGACGAGATCTGAGAGTCTCACATTTCTCTCTCCTTTGCCCTGTCCTCCATCCCCGCAACCCTTTTTTTAAGGACTGATAATCTAGTTGCCCTCCCAGGCAGCTGCATGGTACAGAGTACGACGCCCCATTCCATAGCCCTCCACACCTATGTGTGCACAGAACATAATGTGCAGGGGGATTCATAATTGTCTACAGAACAAATCCAAAGAAGTTGTTCTTCTGTTCTACTTTAGGCCACCATACATTAGGTCGCCTGCTTATCCCAGCCAGTCTGGGGCTGGCGGACGCCCCATGTTTTCTTCCCAGCACCCCAACTATGGCAACTCTCAGGCTCCCATGATGCACCAGCCTGACCAGTACGGGTAGGTAGCAACATACCCTGACTTGCTGCGGGACCTGGGCATTTTTTTTTTTTAAACTGTTAATGACCATGCCATCTGGCTGCGAAAGGAACACCTAAAACAAGAAAGCAAAAGACCTAAAAGGAAATCCATCCCAGAGGGGGGGGAGGGGGTGTCTTTTTGTTTATTTTTGTTTGTTTCGGGGTTTTTTGTTCGTTTTGTTCCATTGTTTTTCATCCTTATTAATTAATGGTACCGTGGTCGCGTGGTGGAATCCTGCATGCCGTTCCCCCAGATCCTGTCTTTGCATGGCTTTCGGCATGGCTTCTTTTCCTTCATGCCTGAGAGGGAAATACAAACTTTTATCTCTGTAAAAGTAATGAAGTCACCTCCTCTGGCCTGATTTGCCCCATTGTTGTCCTTGTGTTGTGTAGGAACTTGTGTTGTACAGCACTGTTATCATGACTGTGTTATTGTCATTCCTGCCCCTACAATGACCTGCTCCTACACACACCCCTGAATTCAGAGTGCAGCGACCTCATTTGACAGGAGATGCACTGCAGGAGACATGGCTCAGGTTATTAATAGGACTTACGAGGGGTTTCATTATATCATCGCTGAGCAGACGTCTGTGCCAAAGATTTCTATTATTTCCTTCTCCCAAGGAGTTTTAGAATATTGAAGTCACCAGAAAAGTGCAACCAAATAACCCAACACAGAATTTGCTTTCTAAATGTGGTGTTGCCATATTAATTACCGATTTCAACACAGGAATTACATACAGCAACAAAAAGTATCTTTCTTCTTTGCTACTACAAAGCTATCTAATAGCAGGGTTTCACCATTTTGAGGTTAGTAAATGCTTTTAAAGTATATTATCGTTGAGCAATCTATTTAGCAAAAATATTATTACTGATACTGTTTCGCATGTCGTAATAAGATTATCTTGCATAGATTGAATCCTGTTCAGTAGTTTGAGTAGAAACACACCACATTTTTGGTTAAAATAAAACAGAGAACAGTTACCTGGCTTTGCTTGAAGACTAAACGTATAGAACTACTACTTGTTATGAATACATAACAACAGAGAGCCTTCCAATAGTTTCATATTCAGTATACATTTAGACAGCAAGAGCAAATGATAATTTTGCAATCGCGAGTTCTAAATCCTGCAAACACGATCCTAAATGTGGGCCAACAAATACAGAATTTTGTAAACATAATCCTAAAAGCAAAATAACAAATGTAGAATTAGGTAAACACATTTCTTTTGGGAAATTGTCTTTTCCTCGTTTTTCCTTTCTTGTGGTACCTTCAAGGTCACTTCGTGAGTCAGTAGGAAAATAACAGTGGGGGGAGAAAAGCATTTATCATCAGCTGCTAATCCATAGGATCTGTCCTTTACCAACTCTGGAGTCCTATTTAGACCCACAAAGCTAGTCTGGCTGTGCCTTGCCAAGCCACATTAAGCAGCTGTGTAAAATGAATTTAAATGGCATGCATCAGAGTAAAATCTCTTCCACTGGGGCAGAAAATCAATGTTAGCTAACCAGCACGAGAAGATCAAATCTGCGTTTCAGCCAGCAGCATCCAGATAGCTTCCTTAGAACACAACACCTCCTCCTTAATTAAAAATAAGAAAAAGAAAGATGTTGGAGTTATTCTTTGTAAATCTTGTAAAGCACACTTGGCAAAGGCTCGTCTTTGTGGCCCCATCCCTGTTAGCTCTGAATTTTGCCTTTCATGTCTACAGCATTCTTTCTAAAAAAGAATCTCCTTTAAAAATCTCCTTTCCTTCTCCCTTTGCAGTACACATAACCTGTTGTGACTTTTTTTTTTTTTTTTTTTAAAGCAGAAGCTTGAGTGTGAGAAAACATGTATAGTACATGTTTTAGTGCTCTGGGTTAAGAAATTTGATTTTCAACATGCTTTTGCTTTACCTAACGTCTCGTTGCAGCAAACTTGTGTTTTTGCTTTTGTTTTTATTTTCTTCCCCCATGGATAGCTGTGTTGGGTGGAATTTAGGTTGGCAGTTTGAAAAACCAGTTCGTTTACTCAATGTCAGTTTCTCTTGTGGGGAAGAAGTGGCTCCAGCCTCACAGAAACACTGTATTCACAGAATTTATTAAGATGACTTCTTTCCCCAGTCAGAGTCCCATAGGGCTCAGAGCCTCTGAAAGAACCTGAAAAAGACAAACTAATGACAAAGTAGTGAGTGAGTGTGTGTGTGTACACACATGCATATGTGCAATTAGAAACAGCTCACTGTGAAAAATGCTGGATTATGGCAATCGTGCCCCAGGTTTTCTCAGCCCGTTGCATGGAAGATGAAACACAGAGAAAGCACCCAGGTTTGACTGCTTGGAACCCATTTTACTAGTTCCCTGGTTAAGGGTGCTGCAACACCTGCTGCACTGAGTAAGTTAAAGAACACAGAGGACTTGGGTTTTTGTTTTTTTTTTTTTTTCTTTTTTCTTTTTTACCTTTTGGATAAAGGAATTCCTCATTTTGATTATCAGAGGATTTACAGTAGAATGTGGTGAATCTCATTGTTCGGGTATTAGATTAGCTGAGCAATAATAACTAAACATTTGGAATTAATAATTTATACAGAGTATTTGTCCTGGATCCTCTACCACCACCATATACCCTGGTGAAAATGCATTGCTGTGTTTAGTTTTATTTTTTTAAAGATTTTATTTATGTGTTTGAGAGAGAAAAAGCACAAGAGAGGGAAGAGGAAGGGGAAAGGGAGAAGCAGACTTCACACTGAGCAGGGAGCCTGATGCAGGGCTTCGTCCCAGGACCCCAGGATCATGACCTGAGCCAAGGCAGATGTTTATCCCACTGAGCCACCAGACGCCTCTGCTGTGTTTAATTTAAAGCATTTCTAGTTAAGGTGGAGTTCTTTTGAAGTACTGAGAAACAGGTAGAAATATCAAA